AGGAGCATTTTATCACAGAGTCAAAATCACAGATGAAATGGTCCATTTCACCATGATCACAGTACACCATTTGTGACATCAACAGTATGATAAAAAAGCTGATCATAAAACCACTTACCCAGGCTCCTGCAGCTAGTCCTGTGCCAAGCTTATGACTCATTAGGGTGATGTAATGTAAAGGTTTGCATACTGCTAAGTACTGATCATTGACATCACTGTCAGGAGGTAATACAGTACCCCAACTAGAAATGCAAACATTTAAAACTGTGTCATGCAAGTGCTGTAGGAAATACTCCTGTCAGGAAGCTGACCAGCAGCTTGGGCAGGATGGTGGAGGCATACCACATTTCCAAGCAGCACAAGTTACTGAGGAAGAAGTACACTGGGATGTGGAGATGCTGATAATCCACTGCCAGCACGAGGATGAGAATGTTCACCATCATTATCACCATGTAGATGTCCTGGAAGAGCAGGAAGAGAGGAACCTGAAGGTCAGGTAAATCACCAGATCCCAGAAGGATGAATTCTGTAATGTATGTTTCGTTTTGCTTTTCCATAGCTGACTCACACTGCATCTTGGGGAAAGCAAATACTAAAATGTAATATAAAAATGAAAAAACTGTTTTCCATGCATGGCTGTAAAGATACGTTATTCACCTTAATTCTTGGATCCAATCTCTACGCGATAACTTATTCAAAATTCCAACTTCTAAAACATTTCAGTAATGTTTTCTATAAAAAAAAAAAACAAATTGTCTTATCTCAGTTTCAATCACTGTTGCTATGCCTCAGGCACAAGACAATTTTCTTCTTTTCTAAGAAGTATAGATGATTACATGCCATTTTTTGGCTTAGCGCCCTGGCTTGTTTCCTTGTCTTGTAGAGACATATCCTAATTCTTACTTTTATTTCTCTGGATATACATTTATATACTTAAACTACTTTGCAGAGCACAGGGAAAGCTGTTCTAAACTACCTACACCTAAACTATGGCATTAGCTTATGATCACATCAGATCAGTTTCTGCAACCAGACAACCTTCATAGAAGTTTTCTCATATTCTGCATCTTGGGTGATCCAGTGGATTTACAAGATAGGGGATTTTTAGACCTGGATTTTTCATTCAGTTTGTTCAATGTCTTGTCACTTAAAAAATATTGGGACTTTCAGATAAAGCTGTAACTGGCATAATAAAATCATGTCAGTAATCAATGAGCCTTCTAGTTTGGCACATGGGCAATTATTTCTACTGACAGAAAAACACAGGAAGTCATAAATCTATTTTCTCATAATTTCTTCATTCACTTTCTTCTTCACACTCTCCTTTGTCAGGCTTACATCCGTGGTAGCCAGCTATGGACCAAGGTCTCTTAGACCTGCCCACATCGCACTGTGGAAACCAGCATGGATTCTGCAGGCTTTCTTCTCTTTTCACCATTATTCTTATATTCTTTATATATAAGAATACATATATTCATCTTTATTCTTTATATGGAAGCCAAGAGCTTGATCTTCCCAAGTGTTTTTTCTTGTTGTCTTTAATAAACTTCCACATGTGATGGAGCCAAGATGAACTCAGAATTCCCTTGTGACTCATTATACGTTTTTGAGTATGAACACAAAATCTTCTTTGATGGTTTTATTAATGGAAATCTTAAATAACCTATCAATTGGGTAGAACCTTATGTTAACACTGCAGTGAAATTTACAAAAATATCTTGCTTTCTCCATCCCACACACATACTATTTCCAATTATATTCCATTTTCCAAAGGCATCTAGATACCTAATGGACATGAGCTGAGTATCTGTTATACCAAATTAAAGGGGACTGTATCACAACCCATTTGAATGGTGTCTTTACAGTATGCCTTTGGTGCAGGCACTCATAAACAGCCTGAGGGCATAGATGAGCATTTCAGAGAACAACCTCTTCTGGGCCAACCACAGCTGGTGCTTTCCACTGATAGATTTCTGCTCTAAAGCAGATGATGAGGGGAAATCTTGTATCAATATTGACAGAGTTCCCTCACAGGAAGGCATGAAGAAAAGCTCCAGGAAGAAGAAGAGGAACATGGAAATATGTGCGTGGTCACCAATCACCTCCTTATTTTCCATGTTCCTTATCACAGTTTCCAGGAGGATCCGCTCCATGATCTCTAGGCTCAGAGGTGGGACTGACTGGCCTGCAGTTCTCTGGACCCTCCTTTTTATATTTTTTAAAAACAGTGGTTGTGTTTCCCCTTTTCCAGTCACTGGAAACTTCCATCAGGAAGATGCTATCTGTATTGGCAAGATGTTCCTTGGCCTAAATGCTGGTGGGACACCTGGTTAAAACAATATCCAAAAGCAATTCAGAGTTGGGATTATATTGGTATGATATGAATACTTCTGAAGAATCGTAATTCATGAAATCTTAATTTTGTTTTCCCTTCCTTAATTCAGAACAGCACCAGATACAAGCCTTCGAGGTACTCAAATGTATTCACCTGACTTATGTAAAATCTCCTCTAGTGGCCTACCCTTTTTCCCCAGCAGAGATAACGCTTTTTACATTGAACACAACATGCACAGAACATCACTGTGGATAGAGACAGTTCCTGGCTCTCAGGAACACTCAGCACTCATGAACATTACTTTCCACCTCATGGCAGAACTCCCAAAGACAGACATGAAAAAGAACCTATGATGAATCATGCGATAGCCTAGGCACTAGGGTACAATGTGGTATTAAGGGAGCTGCAGGTAATGAATCTTTGAGTTACATGGCAGCTAGGACTCAAGTATTTTATTTACTGAGCAAGTGTTGTAAACATTCCAGGTTTCAAAAAAGAAGACCGAAATCTCCTTTGACACTTAGAATATGGGGCCATCTGACCCAATTTTGAACATTTGAACACTACTTTAACCAGAAATCTGGAAATGTAAAATCAACTACATACTCAGTGTAGCCCTCTTAGTGGAGAGAGACTGACACTTCTGAGAATTTCCATAGCCTTTTCAGGTGACAATCCTTATACTGCAAGACTCACATTGCCCGTTCTCTCTTCACTTTCCAGGTGTTTTAAAAAGCTACATGAGGCTAAGTACAAATTTAATAGTGTGTGAATTAATCCTATAGAATCATAGAATAACAGAATCATAGAATGGTTTGGGTTGGAAAGGACCCTAAGATCATCCAGTTCCAACTCCTCTGCCATGGGCAGGGACACCTCACACTAGATCATGTCACCCACGGCTCTGTGCAGCTTGGCTTTAAATACTACTAGGGATAAAGCATTCATTGGTTCTTTGGGCAACCTGTTACAGCACCTCACCACCCTCAGAGGGAAGAACTTCTGCCTTACATCTAACCTGAACTTCCCCTATTTCAGTTTAAACCCATCACCCCTTCTCCTATTGCTACAGTTGCTGATGAAGAGTCCCTCTCCAGTACCCTTATAGGCCCCCTTCAGATATTGGAAGGCTGCTCTCAGGTCTCCACGCACCTTCTCTTCTCCAGGCTGAACAGCCCTAACTTTCTCAGCCTGTCTCCATATGGGAGGTGCTCCAGCCCCTGATCATCCTCATGGCCTCCTCTGGACTTGCTCCAACAGCTCCACGTCCTTCATATGTTGAAGACACCAGAACTGAACACAGTGATGCATATTCCTATGTGGCCTTCACTGCTATAGTGTCTGGTCACCTCCCTGTATTGCCTCAATGTTGTAAGCAGCATCAAAATAGAGGTGCAGTCTGCAGAAACTGACCTCTGAGCTAATACTTAAAATCCTGTTATTGTCAATTGAAAGAAAAGAAATAGATAATTTCCTTATATTTTTTATCTCATACAAAGTAGACTGTCAAACATATTGGATGGATTATAATCCAAAGCACTTACTTCTCTTTATAGGAGCAGTCTGTGGTGAATGCCTTAGATGCAAATGTTTGAAGTTAGATCACATTAATCCTTGTGAAGATGGTTCAAATAGATGCTGCTAAATTGGCATGCTAGATCTGGGAAGATAACGGGCTGAAAAAAAAACCACCAAAGTTGTATTTGTAATAGATGATGCATTTAGGGAACCCCAGGGCTGAAGCTTGTCCCTCCCAACCTCTGAAGTGTCATGGCTGGAATTTGTGCTGCCAAGTGCATGGGATTGAAAAATACACCCCATTAATACATTGCAAATATCTCTCCCAACTACATGCACATTTGATTAAAACATAGCTGACAAGAAGAATCTATACAGAATAAAAAAGGAGTAGATTTTCTGTTCAGCTCCTTTAGTAGTAGCCTTAACAATGTTATTGTATTGAGTTTTGGCCACTGAATTAAATTCCTTACATCTGGAATCCTTCATTCTAACCATGAGAAGACTGAAGGGTGAGACAACCGGAGGGTGCTTTGTGTGTTTGGGGTTTTTTTGGCAGGGCAAATGTATACTGAAGATGGTATAGATCTTCATACTTATTTTCATTGATGGAAGATGGATTATTTTCTGCCTCTTTCAAATAAGAAATATGTAAGTGTTAAAGGTCATGCTGCATACTTATAGTGATATATATGGTGAATATATAATACGCATCAGTACATATTAGCAATGGAAATATTGGTACTGGTGCAATCAGAGCAAATACGGCTTTTTTCATAACAGAAATAAATACGGCAAAACATGTGATGGCATTTAAGAAAGAAGTTGATATTTCATTTGCTTACACAGACTGGAAACATGCTATAAAGTTCCCCTGTGCCAGAGAAGAATGGACATTACTTCAGTTTTAAGTGCTCTTCTCCGTACATGGAGTAATGAGTAATGTGACTCTTAGTATATAAGAAATCTTTATAGAAATCAGCTGACAAGTCCAATAATGCAAAGACTTCTGTATCCTTCACTTTTTTATTCTGTGAAGAAACTTTCATTACTTGAGTCTAAACTGTCAAGGTCTTCATTGGTGCCAACATTTCCTGGTTTTATCACTAAAATAAAAGTTACGACAAAGCAAGAGTGGAAAAACAAAATGGTTGTTGTTGAGTTCATGCTCCTGGGATTTGGGAATGGCCTAAACTGGATTCTCATCTCTTCCTGATGTTTCTGTCAATCTACATTGTGACTATTACTGAAAACATCTTCATCATTGTGCTGATGGTGGCTAATCGACACCTTCACAGCCCAATGTACTTCTTGGGCAATTTGGCCTGCTTGGAAATCTGCTACAGCTCAAATATCTTGCTGAGGATGTTGCTTAGCTATCTGTGTGGAGACAAAAGTATTTCAGCCAACCGATGCTTTACACAATACTATTTTTTTGGTTGTTTGGTAGCTGTAGATTCCTATCTCCTTGCAGTGATGTCCTACGATAGGTATGTAGCAGGGTGCAAGCCGCTTCACTATCCATCCCATATGAACAGCAAGCTCTGTCTCCAGCTGGGTGCTGCTTCTTGGGTAAGGTAAGTGGCTTTCCATCTAATTCTATACTAACATTCCTGATCTCAAGTTTAGATTTCTGTGGGCCTAATGAAATTGAGTATTTTTTCTGTGAATCATTCACAATGATAAAATTTTCCTGTAGCGAAACTCATGTGGTTGGACTTGTCACTTCTGTTGTGGCAAGTGTGTGCTCACTGCCTCCATTTCTGTTGACCTTCTCATCCTACCTCTGCATCATTATCATGAAACTTCCGTCACTGGAAGAAAAAAGGCCTTTTCCACCTGCTCCAAGCATCTTTTTGTGATGATTCTTTTCTACTGGTCAATATTAACTGTCTATGTACTTTCTCATCAAGATATCCAAGTATCTCCAAACAAAATCTTCTCTGTTTTTCAAACCATTCTCACTCCCTTGGTCAATCCTCTCATCTACAATCTTAGAAACAAAGAAGTAAAGGAAGCTCTGTGGAAAGACACAAGTAAATTGCTGACTTTCAGAGGGCTGCTTTCTGTTAAAAAGGAGGGGTAATTATCCTTAATAAGTTACAGGTTCAGACACAGCTATATGGCATGTGAATATAGTTAATCTGAATAAAGCTTGGAAATACATAGCTGTATATCTTAAAAATAAATAAGCAGAGAAACAAAATAGGTAAATAACCTTGCTATCTCTTGGGGGTGGTATGGAGAAGGAACATGAATGTGTACTGAAGTAGCAAGTTTGCTAATGATACAAAGCTAGGAGAGTGGCTGATACAACTGACGGCTATGCTGCTATTCAGTGGGACCTTGATAGGCTGGAGAATTGGGCAGAGAGAAACCTGTTGAGGTTCAACAGGGGCAAGTGCAGGGTCCTGCACCTGAGGAGGAAGAACCCCAAGTACCAGCACATGCTGGGGCTGACCTATTAGAGCAGTTCAGCTGAGAAGGACCAGAGAGTGCTGGTAAACAGTAAGTTGATCATGAGCCAGGAGGGACAAGTGTATCCTGAGGTGCACTGGGAGCATTGTGGCCAGCATGTTGAGGGAGGTTATTCATTCCCCTCTATTCAACCCTGGTGAGGCCACATCTGGAGCACTCAGTGCTGGGCTCCTCAGTACAAGAAAGACAAAGAGCTACTGGAGAGCGTCCAGTGGAGTCCACAAGGATGATCGGGGGTCTGCAGCACCTCTCTTATGAGGAAAGATTACAAAAGCCAGAACTGTTTAACCTAGAGAAGAGAAAACTGAGAGAAGATCTCATTAATGTAGATCAGTAACTCAAAGGCAGGTAACAAAACAGTGGTGCCAGACTCTTTCCAGGGGTGTCCAGCAACAGGATGAGGAGCAATGGCCATAAACTAAAGCACAAGAAGTTTCACCTCAACACGAGGAAGAACTTCTTTCCATTGAGGTTGGCCAGAGCACTGGAACAGGCTGTCCAGGGAAGGTTGTGTAGTCTCTCTCTCTCTCTGGAGACATTCAAAACCCACCTAGACATGTTCCTGTGCAACCTGCTCTAGGCGGCCCTGCCTTGGCAAAGGTTCTGACTGGATGATCTCCAACCCCAACTATTCTGTGATTCTGTGAACACTGTAAAAGTAAACAAAATAAATTCATTAATGTAACTGCATTTGTATTATTGCACATCATATTGTCTTGCCTGCCTGCTTGCTTTCTTTTTCCTCACTACAGCTGAAATTCAGCTCAGCTGAGTAAGTTGAAACTCAATTTATATTACATAAACCATTTCTTTCTTTTCTTCTGGATTACTCTGGTTTTACACCTATGGTGTAGATCTGTTTATTCATGATCATTATCTGGACTCTCCTGATTGCAAATGAAGAGAGTGAGAAACATTGCTTGAATGTGGTTCATCTGATCTATTTTGGATGTTTAATATAAACCATGCTCTAGAAGGCTAGCTAACTGCTAGCTCATACAGAAGAACATACAATGCAGACATTCAGTCTAAAATTAATATACTATGCATACTTGTACTGACAATTAAACCCTTAAAATGAAAGCAAAACTCCCACAACAACATTGCAACAACTTCTAAAGAAGAATGCCTACTTCACTGATTTTGGTAAAGGAGGGGTAGAAAAATGGAAAGGACCATCTTTACAATCCTTAAATTAGTACATTTTGCATGTGTAGTTTTAGTCTCCTTGATAACAATTAGGAAATAGGAAGAGCTGTTTAGAAATCTTCTGTAGGTTATGGAATTGTGACTGTCACGTGTGTTCTTACATTTAACCTGGTTAGAAAAAAAATGAAGAAGTGGTTAGCAAAGCTTCACATCACTGAAGTTTCTAGCAGTGCAATAAGCAGTGGAGAAAAGACAGCACAGGCCCAGGACTGGCCATCACAGTAAGGAAATGTAGCTCTTGAATGCAATTAGCAGAGCAAGACATGGCTACAGGGAAGCATCCCTGGGGTCAGGAGGAGGGAGAAACTGGAGAGAGGATTAGCAAAAATAGAAAGAAATGGGTACCCCTTGCTACATAAAACTGTACGTATGTATGGCCAAATTAACCCAGCCCAGATATTTCTGTATCACTTTATTTACTATAATGGATATCCATTAACACTAAGACATCTGCAATACAAACTCCGTGTATGTGTCAGTCACCTAGTTTGCCAGCATACTCACTACATGGAAAAGACATTTCTACATGCTGACTTATCTGCACATTTTTTAGTTTTGAGGCTACAATGAATTATGCCTTAGAAGTGTCTGTTTGTCTCCTTTGATTATAGTACTCTATGACAACTGACTCTATGACAAGCTCATATGTAAAAATTTAGGACTCAAACCACTTGACAAACACAGGCCTTCGGTGCAATTTGAAACACCCAGGAGCATCTTAGCTGACCATAGATTCATAGAATAGTTAGGGTTGGAAAGGACCTCAAAATCATCTAGTTCCAGCCCCCCTGCCATGGGCAAGAACACCTCACACTAAAGCATGCCAACCAAGGCTTCGTCCAACCTGGCCTCGAACACTGCCAGGGATGCCAGGAATTCACAGCCTCCCTGGGCAACCTATTCTAGTGTCTCACCACCCTTACAGGAAAGAATTCCCTCCTTATATCCAATCTAAACTTCCCCTGTTTAAGTTTTAACCCCTTACCCCTTGTCCTATCACTACAGTCCGTAACGAATAGTACCTCCCCAGCATCCTTATACGCCCCCTTCAGATACTGGAAGCCTGCTATGAGGTCTCCACACAGCCTTCTCTTCTCCAGGCTGAACAGCCACAAATTTCTCAGCCTATCTTCATATGAGAGGTGCTCCAGTCCCCTGATCATCCTCGTGGCCCTTCTCTGGACTTGTTCCAACAGTTCTATGTCCTTTTTATGTTGAGGACACCAGAACTGCACACAGTGCTCCAAGTGAGGTCTCACAAGAGCAGAGTAGAGGGGCAGGATCACCTCCTTCGACCTGCTGGTCACGCTCCTTTTGATGCAGCCCAGGATACGGTTGGTTTCTGGGCTGCAAGTGCACACTGAAGACGGCTCATGTTCATTTTCTCATCGACCAACACCCCCAAGTCCTTCTCCGCAGGGCTGCTCTGAATCTCTTCTTTGCCCAACCTGTAGCTGTGCCTTCTTCAGCAAGTTATCTCTGCCTAGATAGTCTGTTTTTTTGCAAAATGCTGAGAAATGCACATGATCTGTACAATGAACAAATGAATATATTTAACTGTTCAAAATATTACAAAGAGTACAGAAATAAGCCATAAAATCTATACTTTGACTACAAAATGTTTAAGCCTTCTTCTCTGCTTCACAAGGTTTGCTTTCAAGCATGTCTAAAACAAATCACTGTCATAAGAACACATGACTTCAGCACACATAAACCTAACCTGCAGCAAGATTCCAGCAAAGTCATAAAAAAACAGTTGTGCATATTTTCAGGACAAATACGCCAACAGATTTCTGGCATACTGGTATAGTTCATCCCATAGTAATCAGTTCCTCCCACCAGAAGGTAAAGAGTAAGGAGAGAGATTCAGTTGACTGGATATAGGAATGGGATTCAGTTCCAGGACAGCCAGCTGTAGGCATCTATACATAAGTCAACACCTGCACATTCATCAAAGTCAGTGACAACCTTGTCATTACAATCAGCAGCGTTTAAGGAGTGAGCAACCAACTTGCTTTGGCTGCTTGAACACAACTAGCTCTGCTGGAAATGTCCTACATCATCTTATTTTGGTTCCAGTGTAAAGGTTTGAGCTTCCCATAAGTCTGTGTTATATCTGACAAGCCAAATGTAACAGATAACCCTGGGGACTGCAGGCTGCCAAGAATGTTTCCAGACACCTATACTGCAGCTTAGCCAAGGGGCATGCACAGTGGTGTACCCGAAAGACCTCCAGCTGCCATACCAGAAGAGCATCAGCAAACTGAATCCAAGGTCCATGGCCTTGTATCCACTATTTTTCTGGAGAGATGAGTGTGATAGATCTCCAGCTGTGTGTGGGTGATTAGGGATCCCAACACAAGATGCCAGAGAGTCACAGAATGGTTGAGATTGGAAGGGACCACCAGAGATCATCTTGTCCAACACCCCCAGCTAAAGCAAGGTCCCCAGAGCCATTTGCACAGGATCATGTCCATGTAGCTTTCAAATACCTCCAAGGAGATCCCACTGTCAGAAGTGAGTATTGCTCTTTACAACTCTTTGCAAACCAATGCCAGGGAGAAGAGCTCAAAATCGAATCTGAGAGATACAATACTGTAATGTGTGGGGTTTGTTCATCAAGAAGTTTGGGGGGAGGGAGGCTCTCTGTGGCTGTCGTTATGCGAAACAATACTCCTTTTGACTCTGTAACTGTTGTACTCTGTAGGTAATGGGGGGAGGTCAGTTGTATTGTTGCGCGGGATTGTGAGAGAGAAAAGGGGGCTGGGTGGCTCGAAGTGGTGTCTTGTTGCAACGCTTGAGGGGAGGGGGCTGCGGCGGTGAGGAGGCTGGAGGCTGGCAGTGGACGCTTCTCGAAGCCTCTGGGAGCTTCTCGAAACTTCCCGAAACTTCTCGGTAATGAGACCCCCTGCAACAAAGGGAACCAATGAGGAAGAGCCATGTCAACATCCGAGTGAGGAGGGGCGACAGGATTGGCTGGGACCTTGAACCGAAAAAGATAAAGGACTGCCTCCCAGGGACTGCGTGTGCGCATCTTGGGTGGAGCAGAGGACTCCCTGGTGCACCCAGCGTTGTTTTATCTGCTATCGCTTACTCAGTTTAATAAAATTTATACTTTAAACCGAAATTGGTTATAATATTGATAACAATACCAGACTCATTTGTAATTTATGGGAACATGGGTATGACAGAAAACAGTACTTCAGGATACTGCAGTGGAGTGGTGAAACATGAGACACCTCCAGGAAGACTTGTCTTAAAAAGAGACTCCTGGAGAAGGAGGATTTCCCTGGGCCATCAGCCTGTGCCATGGGGAAAAGCCACCCACTACCAGTGGAAAGGCATTGCAGGGTGCTGAAGGACTGCTGGTCAGTGGACTCTTGGGCTGGAAACATACCC